AAAAATTAAAATCCCATGGTATCCCATAGTGGAATGACTATTGATGGAAATGACAAGATTTAGTTAACAGAAAGGGCAGGTCATGAGTTGAAAAAATATTTTTGTATACAAATATAAGTGAGAAAGGATTATTTTCTTTTGTTTTTTATACAGCTATAATAGATTTATCTATAACATGTTTCCCCGAAAATAAGATGCAGACTTATTTTCTTCTGGGCCCCAAAATAAGCCCATTTTCCGGGGAAACATGATTTCAAGGGGATCAGCCTGGCTGGGCGCCCTGTCCCCAGAGCACACACAAGAGCCAGCAAGTGCATGGGGACCAAGGGTGTCAGGCAGCAGTTGCAGTTCGCCGGTTCCCTTGGTTGGCACACTCTAGGGCTGTGCAAAGCGGAAGCCATGCAGTGGAAAGCAGGCGATTCTGACGCATGGAATGGAAGGCAACCTGAGACACGTGAAGATGAGCCTCCCATGGCCGCTTGCCACTCCAGTCCACGGTCGCTCAGCTTTCCCGCTGCCCGGATGCCACATCTGGATTGCCTGCCTCTGCCTCTTCTGTTACCAGTATCGCCATGAGAAGATGAGCCTCCTGAGGCTGGGGGCCGCTCTGGCCCACTGACACTTGGCTTTCCTGTGCCCGCATGGCACATCTGGATCACCTGCCTCCCACTGCCTCTGCTTCTGCCTGCTGCTTGCACAGAAACTCAACTCACCTGTGCTGCACGGGTTGTGGCTGCTGCCAGACACCGTCGGCTCACATGTTTGTGCCTCCTATATTGGCCATGCCCAACTCCTTCACTAGGTGTAGGGCTTATATTTTTGGTGTAGGGCTTATATTTAGGTGCACATGTAAAAACAGACGGGCTTATTTTGGGAGTAGGTCGTATTTTCGGGGAAACACAATAAGTAGTTCTTGACCTATTAGCATTTGGTCAGTGACTATTCCAAGTCACAGTAGCACTGAACGAATGATGGTTATGACTAGCACAGAATGAAATGTCAATGAGGAGGTCACAAGTCACACCCTCCCCCTAATCCCTCTGTGCTCATGCTGTTCCACCCACTCAAGCATCCTCCACAAACCCTCCTGCACCCTCACACACCCTGACCAACTTGTGCACATTCCCTTACACCCTTCCCTTGCCTGTACTGTGTCTCTTGCACACACTCCCCAACCCATATGGTATCCCTTGTACACCCTCCTGAACTTCCCTTGCATTCATGCACCCTCTCCATGCTGTACCTGTCTTGCATCCTCCTCAAATTTCCTCTTTCATCTGCACAACCTCCTTCCTCTCAACCCAACCCCCAGCAGTATCCAGTTCCCTTCCTGGAGGCCTGGAAATTGAAACTTCCTGGTGGCTGCCCCACTGACTTTGATTGTGGGAAGTCAGCAGGAAGATGCCTCATCTAATAACTGTGGTATTTAGTTAATGACAGTAACTGGGATTGTAGGGATTGCTGTTGCTAAGCAATGTGCTTGCGTTCTTTGACTATTACTTAATGAGAGAAATTCCAATTCCTCTTGTTAAGTTGAGGGCTACATATAACTTTTTGCTGATCAATTTTTTAAATTACTGTTTATGAGAGGGATAAAAAAGAGATTAGTGGCATTAAAATAATCCCACAATCCAAAATAATCCTGTTTAACTCATATTAATTAAAATAAACTATAATATTGTTATTACTTAGATATTTATAGATTCATCTGAGCAGATAGATAGATTCATCTGAGTAGATAGAAAGAAAGAAAGAGAAAGAAAGAAAGAAAGAAAGAAAGAAAGAAAGAAAGAAAGAAAGAAAGA